TCCCTCTGTGTTTTCGCTGATCAGTTTTGAAATCCCATCACCATTTCCTGAGGAAAACATGGTTAAAGTTGAATAAGCACACAAAGAAGAACATCCCTTGAAGAGAAACCTCCTTCCCCCATCCTTTCCCTTCCTCTTGGGTGAGTCTGTGGGAGCACATTTCTGTCAGATGAGTTCTTTGGCCCTGTCCTCCAGACTCTTAGGTTGCACTGCATCCTGAGTTGTGCTCTTAAGTTATGCCAAACATACTGTGAGCTAAACCTAGCCCAGTGGCAGTGGTACCCAAGATCCTCCCCAACAGAATGACAATCTTCACTTTCAGTCCTACCTTCTTTTTAAGTAGCACCCTTCCTCCACATTAGATGGCTTCAAACATGATTCATGTTTCTGTGTTAGTGTATTTGCCCAACCCTTCTTATTCTCTAAGAATGACTACGCATTGGCTCTCCCTTCTCTAAGTTCATCAAGCCCTTTACCACTAGCCCATCCCCACCTCCCTCAGAAACGTTAGGGATGGACTTAAATACAGTTTATTTATTTTTAGGAAACACCACACTAGTTGTCTTTCTTTTCCTCCATCATGCTATTTTTTTCTTTTGACTATTTACAAAGATCTGTCCTCTTTGCTTTTGTTTTGCTTTGTTTTGGAGACAGGGTTTCTCTGTGTAATAGTCCTGGCTGTCCTGGAACAGGACCAGGCTGGCTTTGAACTCACAGAGATCTGCTGGCCTCTGCCTTTGGAATGCTGGGATGACAGGCAAGCATTACCAGACTGAGCCATCTTTTGTACTATTACGTGTACATATGTATAATGTCTACCACAGCTGACTCCTGGAGTGGGGGAACATGGGCACGTCCCCTGGATCCTGTAACATTTACTATGGGATTAAAATACGTTGAAATGGTCTGAATCTATTATAGCCCACTTGTGTGTAACTAAAGCATAGAAATAAGGCTTGAACTACAAAAGGACCGAGTAAAGAATGAAGATATTATTAAAGCCAGGAAAGAATGGCTTTCCTTCCCATCTGCCTGGCCATCCAGATCACGGTATCTAGCTGCATTCCAGGACTGCTAGCATGCTGTTTGTACCTATAGAGGATGTCTCTGCTACAGGAACACAGCTTGGGCTGCTCTGCCTTCTGAGAATGTGAGGTGCTCTGGTCTCTGGATCAGGGCAACGTTTGACGGTTGCTGATTTTTCCTCATCTGCAAGGCTGTCTTCGGGGTAACTGTTTATCCGTGGCTAATGATGAGAGGATAGGAAAGTACTCTTTAAACAGTCATGGTAACCTTCAGCAAAGTACTCGGGTGAGTCACTGCTCAGCAGAACTATGACCTTAACATGTGGGTTCTAAAAGAGTCCCAACCCCAAACCATAAAACTTTTATAACCAATAAAATTATGCAAGCAGTTGTCAAGTATTTAACATGTAGAAACTGACAATGACTTAATGAAGAATGATTCTACTGAAACTTTATAAACTTTCTCCCACCATGTAGTCAAACGTTTCTCCAAAAGAGCAAAAACCCGTATCTTTCTGGCATCTATTAAAGTGTATTATTTCACACAAAATCTTCTTTGCTATGTACTTTACACTTTCATACCCAACTTCTAAAGAAAATTAATAAACTTAAAAATGTGAACAAAGTCAGAAATCATTTTAAAAATGTGATTATGTAAAGAAGGTTTTGTCATTCAAAAATCCTTCAGCAGCTCACCTTAGGAGGTAGGGGAGGTGGTACAGCACGTTTAGAGGTTGACCTAATCAAAGAGAAAATCTCAATTTAGATGGTCATATGACTGTAACATAGATGACACTTACCAAATATGCACTAAAATGTTTACAAACAGAGGCTCTGAGACAAACATGACAGAAACCTAAGACCTTGAATTCTAAGACTGCACTGGCACAGCTATAAAAAAATTACAAAGTGGCACGTCTTTTTCAGTTGTATTTTGCTGCACTTAATACGTGATTCAAATTAGATTAAGCTTAAAAGAGAAAGATAAATTCAGGCTTTGGGAGCAGTGCAGCTCAGGGGCAGAGCACAAGGTTAGTATGGACAAGCTCTGGTTTTGTTTCCCAGCAACAAAACAAACAAAAGCCATCCGCTATCTTGGAGCCTGTGGAGACCTGCTTAGGAAAGAAACTCCTGAAAGACAAGTGTGTGTTTGGAAGGTGAGGATGCAAGCCACTTAGCTGGCAAAAGCAGGGTCCCTAGAAACAAGGGAACACACAGTCCTTTTAAAATGAGAGATGTTGGTGCTTGAGAGGAAATAGAATTTTACTCCAGCAAGAGATGTGTTGATGTGCATAAGGCAAAGAACAGTGTTGGGAGGCCTGGTGGGAAACCCGCAGAACCTGGTGGCTGTAGAGGTTAGTCACCGCATGGGAACAGCAACACGATGCACGCTAAATTCTAAGCTACCTTTTTGCTAAAGCATGTGTATAGAATACATCTGATGTTGTGTCCCTGAAGGATTTAAACTAATGAGAAGTAAATAAACAAAACAGGGTTGTGTGTTGTGTCCCTGAAGGATTTAAACTAATGAGAAGTAAATAAACAAAACATTTATAAAAATATTTTATAAATATTTATAAAAATATTAAAAGTAAAATTGGAAATTTCCCATTACAAGTGGGGTATGGTGCCACGTGACCATAATCCTAGCACCAAGATGGCAGAGGCATCTTGGTAGAACAGGGGACCCCAGGATGATATGAGAGCTTATCTTAAAAACAAAACAAAAAACCCAACAACAAAAAACAAACAAAAAAACCCAAAACCAAACATCGACAACAACCAAATTAAAATAAAAGCAAATAAAAACAAAACAACCAAACAATGAAATTCAGAATTCTGGAGCCCGTGAGTACATGTGGCTGCATTATTAACCCTTTGTTACTCAAGGGAGGCCCCTAGAGGACATTGACAAGCGGACACTTTAAAAGTTCACTGCACCAGATCCTGCAGCATTCAGGTGACCAGCTGGCACACCAAAGCCTGAGTAGCAGTGACAGCGCAAAGGTCGTTTACACTTCTCCAGAATCCTTTCAGTGAAGCAGAAAACTGCCAGGGTCTTTAGATTCCATTCACAAAGACTGTAATTTATAGCAGGGGTTGGCAAACGTTCTGTAAGGGGCCAGATACTAAATACTATATCCTTCAGATGGCATACAGAGCCGCAACTCTGCTGACATAGTTTGAGAGTAGCTATAAACAGTACGTACATAAAGTAATTAATATGCTGGTGTTCTAATAAATCTTTGCTGACTGCAATTTTAACTTCATGTAATCTTTCCATAAAACAAAATATTATTCTTTTATTTTTATCCATTCAAAATGCAAATACCCCTTTTAACATGAGATTTTATTTATTCATTTTATGTTTATGCATGCACAAGTATATGTGCCTGAGGATATGTATGTCTACCATGTGAGCGTACGGCTTGCAGAGGCCAGAAGAGGGCACTGGCTTCTCTGAAAATGGAGTTATAGGTGGTTATGGGCTGCCTGATGTGGGTGCTAGGAACTAAACCCAGGTCTACTGGACCGTAAAGCAAGTGCTCTTAACTGCTGAGCCATCTTTGTACCCTCTTTCCCCCTCCCTCTCTGCTTCTCTATCCTTTTCTCTCCAAATACCATTTTTAGTGAATGGGCAGCAGCTAGCTTTGACCCACAGGCTACAGTTTGCCAACCACAGCTCAACAGGCCTAATATGGGGACCCAGAAGTCTACATTTTCAATGAATTCTCTAGGTAACTGAAATGCACAAACATGTAAACAATTCAATGACTCACTGAAGCCAGCCCCTCTATTCACTGCTGAATAAAGACAGGTCTAGAATATGAAGAAACTACATTAGAGAAACAGAATGAGGGATTTCTGACCACCACTATAGTATTTTTCCCCCAATGACATCTTTTAATACATTATCATTACACAAAATATATGTGGACTAAAACAAAAACCATGCCAGGAATGGTGGCACATGCCTGCAACTCCAGTACTTGGGAGGCAGAGGCAGGAGGATGGCTGCAAGTTCAAGGCCAGCCAGGTCAAGCCAGGGTTATGTAACATGGCCCTCTTGCAAAACAAACAATTGGAAAACAAAATAAAAACAAACAGAAGAAAATAAACAAAAATTCCCCCAAACAAAAGAGATCCTTTAAAAACCATACTAAATAGCTCATGATGCTTTTTGTCAATAATGTAAGTCAAAGTTCTGACAATTTTAAGACAAATCCCCATAAAAGCTGTTCATATAATGAAGTTGTTAATTACAAAACAACTTACCTGCCTGTATTTGCACCATCCACAAAAGGATTCCAATGTAATATAAAATTTGGGTCTGATGGTAGTCCCTGTGCAGGTCACAGTTTAAAATGTTACTTTCACAGATATTAACCCAGTTAATATCTACCACTTGATTTAGTAATCACCTATCAGTCATCTTATCTGGTTCAAGAAAACCCCAGCATTGCGGCTGTTAGTTATCATGACATCCAATCAGTTTTTACATCACCACAATTTGTTCTGTCATTTGACACATTTAGATCAATGACTTATTATCATCTGATGTAAACTTAAGAACTTCCCCACATCTATTAAATAGAGCTTTCCATCCAAAAAGCAGAAACAAACAAAACGACAACCCACAAAAATCTGAATTATTTGCATAACTATTCCATCAGTCAAGACAAATAACCAAGCATGGGAGATGCTGGTGCATATAGAAATAAGCAGTAAGAAGAATGCCCATTAAAATCCACTAGAAACTGTTACTCCCTGCCCACCCCCTCACCCCCAAGACAGTGTTTCTCTGTGTTGCCCTGGCTGTCCTGGAAGTAGCTCTGTAGACCAGGCTGGCCTTGAACTCAGAGATCCCCCTGCCTCTGCCTCCTGACTGCTGAGATTAAAGGTGTGTGCCACCATCAGCACCAAGCCTAGAAACTGCACTTTTACTGACAAAAAAAGTAGACATTAGGGCTGGAGAGATGGCTCAGAGGATAAGAGCTCTGGCTGCTCTTCCAGAGGTCCTGAGTTCAATTCCCAGCAACCACATGGTGGCTCACAACTATCCGTTATGAGATCTGGTGCCCTCTTCTGGTGTGCAGATATACATGGAAGCAGAATGTTGTATACATAATAAATAAAATCTTTAAAAAAAAAAAAGTAGACATTAAGGAACCTTCTAGGCCAATCCTAGCAATATCTTATTTATTTATTCCTTTATATAAGGGGTTAAATATGTAGTTAATCTCAAAATGATATCACATCTGGTTTGATGACATATGCCTGTTGCCCTGGCATTAGGCAGCTGAAGCAGGAGGGTTGCAGCAACTCAAGGGCAGCCTGAGCTACACAGTGAGACCCTCTCACAAACAACAAACACAAAAACAAAAGAACCTACAGTTATAGACAGATGGTAGGACCTATAACAAGTGACCCACTACCAACCACATGCCCAGTCCCACAGATAAGATGCTTTACCCAGTAAAGCAAACCAAGCTGTGCTCACTGCAAACCTAACAAGGAGAAGGTAAAGCTGAGGCCAAGACAGCTTTAGTAATTTAAGTACATCCTTCAAAAGACTGAGAGTGCTGAAATAAGTGGCTCAAACTATACTGCTTGTAATACCATCAAAATACCTAATTATGAATTTTCACACTTTAGTATAGTTAATATGTATAAAAAGTAGGTACTTAATTTCTTAAAAATATACCTCACTCTAAGTTTTCCCAAATTTTAACATGGAAATGTTTCAAAGTCCATTACCATTTCATCCCGGGCTTCTGTTTCTTTCCTCAGAGGTGGTTCAAACTGTAATTTGTCAACTGCAAAATATAGAGCAGATACATAGATATGTATAAACATACACACATCCATCCTCTTACATGGCTAACTTCAGGAATGAAACAAGAATGAACACTGTTGAGAGGGAGGAAAAGCAGAGGCACAGAAAGAAATTTCATCACGTCTTCTGTAAGACACCTTCACACTAACCCAGGAAAAGGAGCAATCTGGGATTTCCCCTAGCTTCTATGCTTAATTCTTGGCTGAACTCAGGAAATTAAAAAGTACTTTTTTTTTTTTTTTTTTTTTTTTTTTCCGAGACAGGGTTTCTCTGTGGCTTTGGAGGCTGTCTTGGAACTAGCTCTTGTAGACCAGGCTGGTCTTGAACTCACAGAGATCCACTTGCCTCTGCCTCCCGAGTGCTGGAATTAAAGGCGTTCACCACCAACGCCTGGCTAAAAAGTACTTTTGAGTAAAAGAAAATGTTTAAAGTTTATTGGAGCTAGATGACAAAGGAAAAGTTGCGAAGATTGTTTCCATGTTTCAGAGGCTGTTTTGAGATTGGCAACAGCTTTCTGGCAGAGAAAACCTTGCCATATTATACAAGGATTATATAATGAGTGAGAGGTCAGGATGGCCTTATCATCTACGGTCACACGTGGCTGTGCATTTTATTTGATCTCATCAGTCTACTTCCATAGTTAGTCCAAGTATTCAAGAGCAATTTCTTTTAGATGAAATATTCTAGAATGGAAAAAGTTACTTCATTACCTACTTATAGTTACTATAATTTTAAAACTTTAAAAAAACTGAATGTGACTAAAAGTCCAAAAAAGTTTTTTTCAACATTTATACTAATAAAGACACAAGATTTCTAAATACAAACTTAACTAATTGTTAAAAGGCTTTCAAATAAGATCTAGTTGCATTTATCCCCAGTAACAAAACTTGTAAAAAATAATACAAGGCACTAACATAATTTGTTATATGGAACAAAAATAGTAAGGCATAAATTTTTCCTCTCTTCCTCCCTTCTTTCTGAAAATTTATTTATTTTTATATTTTAAGATAAACCCAGGCTGGCCTGGAACTCATTATGTACACTTAGGCTGGCTCTCCACTTGGGATCTTCCTCCTGCCTTAGACTCTGTAGTCCTGGGTGGGGTTACAAGTGTGCACAACCATGTCTGGCTTAAAATTTCAGCACTAAGGAAGACATTCCATAAAATATGTTATTTGCTTAAATATCAATCTAAAATAAAATCCTGGATCCATTAATAACATTTAACATAATCTAAAAACATTTTGAAAGAAGATTTGTTTCATGTGTGTGAATGTTTTGCCTTCAGCTAAACAGAGTGTTCACATGAGTGCCTGGAACTGGAGTCACAGGCAGTTGCGTATATAGCTGGAGGACAGCACTGTGAACACCGGATAGACTGCAGTATTAGGACAGACAGCATGGGATAGCCTGTGGTATTAGGACAGACATCTGAGCTTTTGTCAGTGGAACTCTAGATCCATAAAAGGGTCTTCATAGGAAAAGGACAAAATTTAGATGCTCAATATGGTGTTACATTGTCCAAGATACAAAAACAGGAACAAAAGACAGTTGAAAAAAAGAAGAAACAGATTCAGATGATACAGGCAAGCAGCAGATAGGAACTTTAAAAACATCAACATGCTTGAGGACTTTTGAGACAGACAGTGGGTAAAGCAGACAATCTCAGCACAGAAACAGAATTACATTTCTAAATATGCATATAGATGTATATCTGTAATCTGGGTATGACTAAAGTTCATATTTGAAAAATAGTGGACCTGAAATAAAACTCACTGAATGGCTTAATAGCAGAATGAGCACAAGAACAAAGTTCCTCTCATGTAGAGGTGAGGGTGCAGGGAGAGCAAAACCTCAGTGAGCTATGAAATCAGAGAGTTCATGTTAACAAGGGTCTCAGAAGCAGAGGAGAGACAATGGCAGACATTTCAAAGAAACAGCAGCCAAACAATAAAAAACATAGATCCACAGACCTACGAAGTTTAACGAACCCTCGTCAGACAACAGAACCACAGTCCAATTGGTGTAAAACTGTAAACTCAGTGTGTCTCAGCATGTGCCTGTGATGGATGTAGAAACTGGAGTTGGGGGCAGCGATTCCAGATGTACAGATGCTTGGGCTTTAGTTCAGGGAGGAAGTTTAACCGGCTTCACCTTCATTCAGACAAAGGCAACAAAACACTTGGGACTATGGAAGTGTAAGAAGTTTGTAAAAGTCTCCTCAGCTTGTTTAAGTTTAAATTTTTTTTTTTTTTTTTTTTTTTTTTTTTTTTTTTTTTAGGTAAGAGTTTCACCATGTAGTTCTGGCTGGCTCTGAACACTTGCCATCCTCCTGTCTCAACTGAGATTAAGTGCCACAATGATATTATGCCTGTATCTTGATCTGAGAAAGAGAGAAACAAACTTTTTTTCTGGCACTCACCAGCCTGGGAGGACAAACACAAATCCAAATGCAAAGGCCGGAAAGAACATAATTTCTCCCAAGGCCACTCTGCATGTGACAACGTTTCATGAAATGAAAACCCTCTGAGCTACACAGCTTTCTCACTGAGAAACCGCTCTTTAAATCAGGCTGCCAGGGACCTGCCTGGTGAAATCATGTTCATTTCAGTGAATCATTGTATTACGTCTGGAAGATCTAAGTCACTGACTCAGATCCAACCCAGACACCGAGCTTCAAACGAAGGCACTTCTAAATGCAGTGTTCAGCTACAGGAGGCTTCAGAGTCCACTCTCAGAACAGACCCGGCGCTCAGCCTTCCCCAGTCACATGTCCTCACTGTGAGTCATTAGTTTAACTTCCCCTGAATTCTGGTCCTGCTGCGCCTCTTCTATTTCTTTGTTAGATAAGATGCCACATGGTTTCTATGGTATGTTTTATATCACTGCAAAGAATTAAAAAATGTGACTTTGTTAGAATATTTCTTCATCCCTGGCCAATCTAACACTGGATATGTTATGGCCTGATGTGAAATGTCCATGAAAATCTATGTGCTAAAATCTAGCTGACGGGCTTTGGGGAAGTGACTGGCTCATGAGGGCTGTAACCCCAAAATGGATTAATTAAATAATGGGTTCATAAACAGAAAGGCTATTGGGAGATGACACAGAGTTAAAGGTGGGGCCTAACTTAAGGGAGTGGGTCCTTGGGGACTGTATATTGTTTCTGGCCAGTTCAACTTACTCCAATGTCTCATCTCATGTGGTGAACAGCTCTTCCATGATGAACCTTAATTATACTGTTCTGCCTCACTATAGGCCCAAAAGCAATACGGCCAAGTGACCATGGACTGAAAACTCAAGAGACATGAGTCAAAGCAAATCTTTCTTCCTTTGTTTGCCTCAAATATTTTGTTATATCAACAGCCAGGTTCAAAAATTATTAATGTCCACAAAAAATATACAGTAAGAATACATAGAATGATTACAATAGCCCAAAGCAAAGTCAACAGAAGATCGGGTGAGTTGTAACATACTCATTAATGTAATATTCCACCACCATGTAGTCTTACACAATGGCGTGAATGACTCTCACAGATATGGCTGAGTTAAAGGGTCCACTGTGTCATGCTACTTATCTAAAAGTCAAGATCGGTTAAAAAGGAACCTATGTGACAGGGATGAGAATATCAGTTAATCTGGAGACAGGGGAGGGTGGAAGTACTGACTGTGACAGAGCATGGCAACTCTGAGATCCAGGTATGTTGTATATATCTGCAAATTTTTACCATGCATCACATTTAAGATTGGATCATTTATTGTATATAAATTACCAGCCCAACTTAAGAAAACTGAAGCAAAAACCAGGATAGAACTGAAATCTATTAAGCAAGCAAAAACAGAGCCATAAAATACTCTGGTATCTATAAAAGGAAAATTGTTTAAATGTGAAGACAAAAAAAAAAAAAAACCACCAGTAAAATGACTTTAACTTTATCCAAGGCATACTCCATGAAAATATCAACATTCTGAGCACTCGTGAAGAAAACTAAATCTTGACCCCCGCTCCCCAAAGTGGGGAGGGAAGGTCTTTTAATTAAGGCTGAGCATTATAAAGATGTCAACTCTGTTAATATGTAAATTTAGACACATCAGCAAAAATTAAATTTAAAAACTAGATAAGCAGATTCTAAAATGTAATTGTATAATAGTCAGATATAATTAAAAGAACAACAATGTGTGCACCTGGACATGGAGGAAGAGAAGCAGGAGCAGGAGGAGAAACAGTTGTAATACATTTTAGCAGATGGAATACTCACAAGTGTGCTGCTGTACACGAACAGACACGCAAAGCAACATAACAGAATTCCCAGGAACAAGTCCTAGGACAGGCATGGGGATTTATTTTTACAATAAAGATCGTATCTTGAATCCACGGGGGGGAAAAAAAAATGACAAAAAAGATGAAGTCTAGTCTTCAGTTTACACATTAAGTTAAGTATCTAAAAAGTGGAATTGCAAAATACAAGAATACACCATAGAACATTCTTTTTGCAGTCTCAGAATCAAGGACATAGCATAAGGAACTGAAGAAATGACTCACTGGTTAAGAGCATTTGTTACTCTTGCAGAGGACCTAGATTTGGTTGCCAGTACCCACATGATAGCTCACAACCATCCCTAACTCCAGGTTCAGAGGATCCTATGCCCTCTTCTGACCTCTGCAGACACCAGGCACATTCATGGTGCACCTATTTACATGTAGGCTAAACACTCATACATGAAAATTTAAAAAAATGATTAGATTAAAACAAAGAATATAGCATAAAATGCAAAGGCTATAAATAAAAGACAAGTTAGATCACATTAAAAGAACATTATATAGCTACACAAAGTAAATACAGCTTTATCAAAAAGGTTATCTTTGGGATCTGGGGCCCTCAGAAATTTTTCACAAGAAGCAACAAGACTCTGGCAAGATGGCTCAGTAGGTACATAGTAAATACATAACTAATTTTAGAAAAAAGACAGCAAGGTGAGCACTAGCACTAAAAAGACACCAAGTATTGAGTTATTACTTGCTTATCTATGACAAGTACTGTTGATCAACAGGTAAGGGAAGACAATCTTTCAAAGAGCTAGGAATACTTGTTTGAAGAAAACAGACTTAAGCCAGGCATGCTGGTACACCCTATAGTCTCAGGACCCTGGAGACTGAGGAAGAAAAGTCACTGTGAGTTTGAAGCTGGCCTGGGCAATACAGCCACCTTCCAAAAAATGAAAATAAAATAAAATGCAGACAGCTATTGGATAATCATCTGTAAGAATTCTAATTGGTTCAAATACTTAATGAATTATCTTAACCTCATTATGGCTAACATTCTATTTGTATTGTTAGTCATGCATCTCATTTTATCACAAATCACTTTAATTTCATGAAACAATACAAATCTCAGCCAGGAAATCCATATCAAAACTTCTGTTTTTTAAATGTGGCTGAGGTGACAAAGGTGGTTGATATAAAATTTTTGTCTGTTTATGATTAACTCATTAAAAAATCAAAATTCCATTTTAAATATTTGTAAAGAGTTATCTTCATATTGATCTGCAATAGTTAAAACCCACCCAAATGCCCAGTAACAGAAGACTATTTCCTACAGCATGAAACAAGCATGACTCAACCTGCAACACAGTGTGTAGTTATAAAGTCAGTGCCAGCAAACAGAAAATGCTTCTCTATTATGTCAAAGTACAATTAGCCACATGAAATATTCATGGCAAAGCAAGAAGTCAGAAAAAAAAAAATGGGCTGTCTATAGCTTATATGATGAAGTGCAATGCAAATTTTCTATTTTTTTTATTTCTTGTCAATTTCCTACAATGGGAACAATTGTCTTCATAATTAAAAATAAAAACTATTTAAAAACAATAATAAAATTACAATAAAACCAGAAAAGCAGCCTGCATTTTTACTATATTTTGAAATACTAAAGTATACAGCCTCAATTAGTCTAAGATTTTATAATCCCATAAAAAAATATAAGAATACCCAGACCAACCCTCCAAGGCCACCAATGAAAAATATATAACATGCACATACAATTAATTTCTGAAGCTGTCCGTTCAGCTCTGGAATTCCTGTTTGTAGATCTAATTGTATGACGAATGATTGCATGGGGCTGTGAATATAAGCATAATAAACACACTTAAAAATTTCAACAAATAAAAGGTTTATTTCTAATGATTGCTTATTGACATGATTACTTAAACATTTCTCATAAGAAAGACAATAAAAAGTACAATGAACACTAAGATGCCTTAAATGTTTATTTACTTATTCCATGTTTACACTGTGTAAAACACTGAAGGGATTCACAGTTAGAAACAAACTTTATTCCTCAAAGCGTTTAGTTTGGGACGACAAAGAATACAAGATTAGACAATGGTCAGTGCCATTTATTAGTTAAAAAAAAATCCTGTTAAAGCCTGGACAAGGGATAGAGATTCCTTCTGTACTGAACTGATGAACAGAGGCTCTGATCCTCACTTTCCCAGGGCCTGAAGTACAGCAGGCATTGGCTATGCAGATGTGGGGATGCACTAGACAGAATATGATCACATAATGCAAGAATGAAGTACTTGCAGGAAGTGGGGTTTGGCAGTTATTTGATTGAGTGCACTGAAATGAAGATGAGGGCACTCTGTGGACACAAAAGGCCCTAAATGTCAGATGAATGGCTCTCAGCTTTCAGTTTTTGAGCTCACGGAGTGTTTGGAGATTTTTACTGCAAGGGAGTGGCAGCACCAGGGATAGCTTTAAGGGGAAAATTTCTGCAAGTGTATACCGTATAGAAAGGAGAAATACTGGATAGAGGGATATTAAGAGTATTTTAAGCCATGAGGCTAGAGAAGGTGCTCTGAATTAATGAGCTCTCTTTAGTTGTCAATCTAATTTGCTTCCCCTGGGGGTCACATTTGTTCCTCAAAGCTACTTCTCCCTTTCCAGTGACCCACATCTATATAGTCAAATTCTTCCCCTACAACCAGCACCTATCTCCTTACCAGACCTCTTATGTAACACGTTGTTCAGTATAAAAGTAAACTCATCTTTCTTCCCAAACTTTTCTCATGCTTCTACCTCAGTAAGTGGTTAGTTATATCCACCAGGTTTTCAAATCAAAATCCAGTAGCAAGCATTTTGTCATCCTTCCCTCTTAGCCATGACTCAATCACCAGCTTCCTGGTGACTCCTGAGTGAAGAACTCGTTAGTAGTGCTCTACCACTGGTTTAAGCTACGGTCATCTCCACCCTGCTCTCCCGGGTAGTTCTTTAACATTTTCCAGTGAACATACTCTCCATTATGAATTCATAAAGATGTTTTGAAAAGTCTACATCTGATCACATCACTTCCTTCCCTTTAATGGCTTCTGAACACCCCGAGTCTAAAGCCTTAGCAGGGTTTGAGACAGTATCTAGCTTTGTAGCTTCATGTCCCATGGCTTATTCCCTGTTCCACCCAGACTGACTTTTCTTTAGTCCCCCAGCTTTCAAAACATGCTATTATTGCCTCTATTAAAATTATTTATTATTGGGGTGGAGAGTTGGCTCAGCAGTTAAGAGCACTGGCTGTTCTTTCAGAGGACCCACACGGCAGCTAACAAATGTCTGTAACTCTCTTAGAAGATCTGATGCCCTCCCTCATCCAGGCAAAACACTTGTACCCACAAAATGATAAAATAAATCTAAAAACAAAACAAACAACAACAAAACCTTATTCTTTCTCTCTTCCTCGAATTCTACGTATCTTTCAATTTTGTTGTTCAAATGTAACTTTTCCATTGAGCTCTTTCCCACCCTACTCATGACATCCCTCTGTAGGGTCTCTATTTCCTACACCACAGGATTATCAGTCCTGTAAATTATGTGTTGCTATTTCTGAACTTCCTCTGTGAGTAACTCACCATCTGTGAATGCAGGGACAGTGTCAGTCTCACACCACTGTGCCCCACAATGTGCTAGAAGGTTTTGTGTTTCAAGGATTAAAAAGAATGGCAAATCACTAAACAGTAACAAAACAAAACAAAACGAAAATGACTGAACTTCTAAGGAGTCTTTATGAAAAATTATATGCATGTGTTGTGCCTATACTTTTTCCTCATGGTCCAAAGTAACATTCTTACAGACATTATTTCCTAGGAAACAGATGCCATGTCTGTATGGTCTACAGGAAGATCACATGTCACTACAGGACCAGAGATCTGGAGAGGAGGCACCTCTGGCTCTCACACATGTGTGTAAGGGGTGGAGGAGGATAACCTCATTTAAACCTCAGCCAACCACAGAACTTGTAGGATTAGGAAAAGCCTTAGCAGGTATAATTAGATGAACGTATATATAATCTACAATCATTTTTTGTAGCTAAACCCATTTTAATTAAATTGAAGGTGTAAATCAGAAAATAAATTCCCAGCTGGGTGTGGTGGTTCACACCAGTAACCTCAGCACTTGGGAGGTTGAGTCAGGAGGATCTCTGAGAATTCAAGGTTAGCTTGATCTATGTATGGATCTCCGGACTAACTGGGATCCTGTGGACCTTGTCCATAAAGCCAAGAGTAAACAAATACCTGAAATAAATAGAATATACTCTAGAGCCACATTAAAAGTCTCAAGCATCCACCTGATCCATTCTTACCTCAAAGTCATCATCGTCTCCTTCAGTGTAGTGTGCATGGTTGTCTGGGTTGTTCACCTTGTCCAACAGTTCAACTGCTAGGGCCCGAGATAGACCTGACTGCCCAACAAAGGTGTGCTAAGTAAAGACCAAACAGAAAAAATTCACAACTGTGCCTTCACATCTATGGCTTATAAAAAATGGTTACTTGTGATTTTCTAAGTCAGTAACTTGTAAAATGAGGTAATGGTGGAGTCTAGACTCAGACATGGCGGGTGCAGCAAGTAGAAACATCAGTCAGTGAGCCTATGATCATAAACAACTCAAACACCCGTGTTATGAGATTAGAACGTGACCATTTGCCTACGTAAAGTAATCTATATTATGCTGTAAAAGTATAACCAGCTAAATAATGATGCTTATTTATATATACTGGTACGTCAATGAATACTGTGGGATGTTTCAAAACAATAAGAAAAGGCACGTTCCTTGTATATTTGCATTCACTTAATTCAGTTAAATTGTACAGTTTTCTTAGGTTGCTGTACTCATTAATTTCTCAGACAAAGGCATTATATATAAACATGTAGAGCACATTTGCGTAATAAATTAAGAAAAGCAACTAATTTTAGATGGTAACATTTTGGAGTTTTTTTTTTTTTTTTTTTTCCAGAGGCTGAGATCATCAAACAATAGTCTCAGGGTGACTGTGGTATACTGCCTACTACTTTTCTAAATAAAGTTTTCTTGGGTGTTAAGACTATACCCATAAATGTATTCTGTCTATAGCTACTTTGGGTTACAATGGCAGAAATAAACAGTTGTGCACAGTCTGACAGAAACTGTACAGTCCATGCATCTGGTCCCTGACTGAAAGTCTGTTGATCACTACTGGAGAGATTAACGTTTTTACAAGGCCCACTTTTCTCTTAGTGACCCGTCTCAGTAACATGTGACCAAGAGCCCCCATGGTCCATGACTTACAGTCAGGAGCCTTTCAGCAGTCGGCCTTTTCTTAGGGTTTTTCGTTAGTGCTATTTTGACAAAATTATGGAATGTCGATGACCTTCAAATAAACAGAGACAGCATAAAAACAGGTCACTAGTAATAGTTTTCTGCTCTTACTACATAAAATTAACATAGGAACAGTTAGAAAGTGAGAAAAAGCATTTTCTCCCTCTCAGGTCTCTTAGTTCGATACAGGCCAAAAAACTAAACACAAAACACAGTATATCCCTCAGACATATGGGCAACCATTTTATCTTTTAAGTAATATGCAGTTAAATAGCAATAGTACTAGACAACCTCCAAACATGGAACTACAGATTAGAAGTAGAGAGATGCATGATTTAAGTTCTTTCCAGGTGCTGCTGGAAGCCAAATGTCTTTTTCTTATTGCCTAATTTACAGAGTATTTTAAAAAAAAAAAAATTCTATACCAAAAGGTAGATTACCTGGAGGGTAGAGACTTCTAAAAGAATTTTTGAAATTCATAAGGGCAAAGAAAAATCAGTGACTTTAACAACCAAAAGGATTTTCCTGCTATTTGCATTGATGAAGCAGGAAAAGGGAAAAGAAAAAAATTAGAAGACTCCTATATTCATTACTAATGACAAACAGGTTTCTTTCTGCCACTGTGAAAGATTCCACTAGGGGAGAATGGCTCAAGAACCAAGGAAGTTGCCATAGTAACCAGCAAAGACAACACACAGCACATCTTAGCAGAGAAATTCGATCACTGCTTTGCCCATGGTGGTTTGTGAGAGGCACTAGAAAGACAGTCTGAGGGGCTGTAGGGGATCTCTGATGCTAGCTGCACCTCTGGAATCTGATCACACATTTAGTGCTGATTTATGATGTTTGCTGTTCCTGCGTAACTAGTAAGGCTTTCCTGTCACAAAGTCCTTCAGTTCCAAATGACTAGGAACTCAGAGCACCAGGAAGCATGGAGAAGCCAGTGTGAGTACTAAAGGGCACTATAGGGTGACTTGCCTTACCCCCTGACCATCACCTTAGAATGCTCCTAAACAAAACTGTACCCACACAGGTTATGAAACATAACTCAGTTCAGAGTCTACCATGGGGAGGGGAAACTAGAATCTGAAATCTCACCAACTACACTATCTCATCAGAAAAATAAATGGACATTTGGAGGCTCATAGACCTTCAAGAAATCCATACACCTACATAGGAACTATGTGTATGATATAATCAGAATTTTTTATTTGCTGGTTTATTTTATAAAATGCTTGTCGATTTCTATCAGAAAAAATCTCAATTTTTACCATCTAATACTTATAAACTAGAATGATAATTGTAAAAGAAAGGGGAGATGAAGATGAAAATAAGCCGTAATCCCTTTGAACATATGAAAGGAAGAACAAAGCCAATAAGGACTAATTTTAAGTGTCATAGTATTTGGGAAACTTTTTCAAATATCACAGTCCAAGAAAGACAATATGTAATTAAGGGATATAAAAAAAAAATACAGGGTGAAAAATGTGAATTTCCAAAATCTTCACACATTCATTTCAAATCCCTTCCATCACAATTCTCTCCTCAAGCCGCCAGCACGTTAGAAAGAGGCTGTTTGCCAAGAGTAACGATAATTAGAAAATAAGCCTAACCCCTTGCCACATGCCCACGGTTGCACAGCTGTGCAACACGGGGTACGCTCCTGAAAGCTCAGGTTTCATCATCTACAACTCGAGGGAACTGACTGTTAAATTCCATAAGACCAGTCTTTAACTCACCATTTTGTTTTGTCCTTTAGTTTTGGAGGCTGAAAATTACTTTTTGACATTAAGAAGAGAGCCCTGAAATAAAAATTTCAGTTAAGGGCAATATTAAGATACTTTCACCAATGTGCTTAACAGTTAGACTAAATATTCTGTTATAAAACTGTGTAGAACTACCTCATGGGAGGGTACTGAAGACACTGCTTTGGACGTGAAATGTTTCATATTTTGTTTTCTGTTGACACTGGGGGGTGTCATATGTGCAGTGTGTGTGTGTGTGTGTGTGTGTGTGTGTGTGTGTGTGTGTGTGTGCGCGTGCGCGCATGCTCACCCCGAGCAGGTAATATGACATTACATCTGAGTCCCTTAGTACTTTTACTACTGTGATACACTTGAAAATAATCCAGAGACATCAGTGTTTCATTTCCCAAAGTGTTATAAATAATGAGAACACCTCATTGGATGAAGATCAAACATAGGCGGCTGAAGCTCTCCAAGCTCAATTGCTGTAATTCCGACTGCCCAGATATCACAGAGTTGGTTGTAGCCACCATTCTTTTCCACTGCTGCAACCTCTGGGGCCATCCTGGGGGAATCAGTGAGTAGAGCATTGTTACTTTAAAAACAATATAGAGCACACTAATTTTTGCTATGCTCACAGATGGAAGAAAGAGGCTAGCAGCTAATTACTGGGAAGGAAGAAGCCTTACCATCTGGCTCCGCACCCCACTTTCTAAAATTCATTATTTGGTGGCTAGAGAAATGGCTCAGTGGTTAGGAACACTGGTTACTCTTGTCAAAGAGGTGGTTCAGTTCCTAGCACCCACATGGTGGCTCACAAACACCCGTAACTCTAGCTCTAGGAATCTGATACTTTCTTCAGACCTCTGTAGGCACACATGTGGTGCACATACATGCATGCTGGCAAAACACCCATACATATGCAATGAAAATAAATAACTTGGAAAAAAAAAGTAAAATTTACTCTTTAAAAAATCACACCTTCCTTTTCTGGATATCCTGTTGCTTTAGTCTGTGCTGGTGAAACTGTTAAAGAGTATCAACAGGAGCAGAAGGGGAGGTGTCTGCACACTTCAGAGAAACCCCAGCATATGCAGAAGACATGGAGAGCAAGCACTAGTGATGCCTGGAGACATACACTACTTGTTACTATTGGGACTAATACAGAAACAGCAAGCATTCTCTCTCCTGTCTAAACATATCAATTTTTAATAATTCATTTTGTTTTACAAAGTGTAAGTCTGATCTGAATGGAAAAAAAAAAAAAAAAAACAACAACAAAAAACCCAAAACTTCACAACTGAGGGCTTAGAGCAGCAGTTCTCAACGTTCCTAATGCTGTACTCTTTAATACAGTTCCTCATGTTGTGCTGACCCCAACCATAAAGTTATTTCATCACTACTTCATAACTGTATTTTTCCTACGGTTATGAATCGGAATGTAAATATCTGATATGCAGGATATGTGATATGCAACCCCAAAGGGATCACAACCCACAGATTGAGAACCACTGGCTTAGAGGGTCTGGAAGTACATAGAAAACAGACTGCCAGGGTAGGGGCTAGAAAAAAACAACCTACTTTTATACATGAATTTACTTGTGAAAATGATGTGGACCCACTGAAAGACTTAATTACGGAGGCAACTTAATATAAAACTCACACCAACATGAAACACAGTGTGAGAGGAGGTGAAATCAGGTGTGCACAGGAGCTACAGGACGGCTCGAAAGCACAGGTATGGTAGCAAACACCTCTAACTACAGACCCTGGGAGGCCGAAACAGGATTATTGTGAGTTCCAGGCCAGCCTGAGCTAAACACAAGATCATGTCTCAATATCCACCCCCCAAAAAAGAATCTCAAAATACACACTGATAACATCCAAGGTTGTAAGGTGGAGGTGATACTGCCCAGGGGAAACATTTTTTTTTTTTACTTCCATTTTCAAGTTTATTAATTTATAGTTATATCGAATATCCACAAGTTGCTATTGCTTTTACATGCACAAAACATTATAATTTTCAATTGTTGAGATACAATGGTATCTCAACTTAAATGTGGAATATAGTACATGTGTTCTAAAGTGAGGACATAATACTTAAACTCTTTAGCTTCTTGCTGTGCTGGGGATTGAACCCAGGGCCTTGAGCATGTAGCCAAGTGCTCTACTGATGAGCTACATTCCCAGCTCTTCAAAATGTGATTATTAAAAATGCTGACACGGAAATCTATATACTGTATGTAAGTGCTATATACACAGTAATGGGCACACTACAAAAGATAAGAGAATAATTACCACTGAGCCAGATGACTAAAGGCTAGTTTGAGACTCAGAAGGGACTGAGCTGGGGCCCAAAAACAGCAAATACATTCCAATTCTTTACCCACTGGAGTGAGACTGCATAGCTAATTGGAATGGCAGCCTGACTGACTGTCCTGCTTCCTAACTCAGGAGGGACCTGAGCTTAGGTCAGAAAGCTACCATAGGTGGTTACAGAAAGCTGCCATTGGATGTAGCAGTGTACACAGCTCTGAGGAGCAGGCAGAACTTTCAAGGTGAGCACATGAAAAGGTAGGCTTCCCTGGGATGCAGTACAGCTCAAGTAGTTGCAGATGTGTTTACAATAGAGGACAGTTACAGAAAGTCTCGAATATTCTATAGGTAATCTGACCTGTCTGTTTCCATTTAATGCTTATTTAAACAATACCAACTAGGGAATTTTCTGTTATTAAAAGTGGCATGTGTTAACTGAAGAAAATTATGAATATAGGAAAAATATGAAAGAAAACAAGTTGTGACCTTAATCAAATACAGCCACTATCTTACATATATTCATCCATACATTTTACTTAGAGACATTATCTTTCCTAAGAGTATTCTATCACATGTGCTAATTTTGACCTTAATTTTTTTAAAAACTATGTCCACTATGTTTTTGCCTGTCTGCCAAAACTCATCTCTGACAGCATCACTTTTAGTACCATCATGTTATTCCCGGAACTGACAAGTGACACTGCCTTAGCTTATTCGAGCCACTATTTTCTTTCTTAAACTATTCCTGGAAAGCACTTTGTGCACAGAAATGTACAAGCCTCTGATAGATTACCACCAGCAAAAGCACTGAGACTAAAGGACACAGCACGCAGAGGCTCTTGCATCCTTAGTGACAAGTCACCCTACCGATTTTCACTGTAACATACTTAGTGATGGGGAGTGTTACTCATTGGTTCCAAGTATTTTCCAATCTGACTGAAAAGCGCATCACTTATGTGTTCATTGATGGAATCATTTCTCATATTTTATGATTTGTTACAAGTGTGATTATAATAACTGCTCCTCAAGAGGCTTTCTTTTTAATGACATATTAAAGATATTACATAGTTTGGCCAATATAGCCAGTCCTTCCTGTATTTTACTTGCCCTTTAATTTTTCTTTCAGCTGGTAGACATAAAGCCTTAAATTGCCACATGATGTAAGCAATCTTTTCCTTTAAAGTTTGAAGCCAACACAAACCTCTTACACCTTTCCTCTTTCTTTGCTGTCCTCCGCCTTCCTTCTTTCTAAGACAGGAGCTCATATACACGTGGCTGGTCTCAAACTTGTTTTTAGCTGAGGATGAACTTAAATTTCTGAGTCTCCTGCACTTCCAAGTGCAGAAAATAAAATGTGTGCCTCCACCATGTGGTGCTGGCGATCGTGCACACTGGGGAAGTATTCCCCCACTGGGCTGCCCCTCCACCCCGTCTAACTCAATTGCTTTTATTTTATTTTATTTTTTTTTGACAGGGTCTCACTCTGTAATGCCTGCTGGCTTGGGACTCACTACATAGTGCAGGTTGGCCTCAAACTCACAGAACCTGCTAGCATATGCCACCATGCCCAGCCCTGTTTTTACTTTCATCTAAACTTTATCCTGAGAAAGAACAGCCAGTGCTCTTAATCACTGAGCCATCTCTCTCTTCAGCCCTATATACAGTTTGGCACTTTAAATTATTTTCACAATAACAAATTATCCAAACACCATATATTAACAAACACAACATTTAACATAAACTTTGAATGCTATAGCATTCATTACATTATTTTAAATATTAAGGGATCTTGTTATTGCCTTTTTTATTGAGTCAGGGTCTCATACTAAAGCTCAGGTTACCTTCAAATTCACAGCAATCCTCTTGCCCCAGCCTCCCTAATGCTGAGATTACAGGCACCACCCACATGCCAGGCTCACACCAACTGTGAGGTCTTCTGTGTGTACGCCTCAACTACCTGTCAATAAGGAGGGCAATGTTCTAGAGAGATTACTGCAGTTGTCACCAGTAGGATGCTCTATGCATGTGGGGCTATTGGACACCAGTGTGGGATGTGTGGGTTTTAACAACCAGGAATATAGTCCTTGATTAAAACAGAAAATTAGAAGAGGTACTAGAAGTCTTTGTTTTGACAACTCCACTTTGTGTAGGCCCTTTGCCACAGGGAGAGCTGGATGCTATGAGGAATCGAAGTTCTCAAACACAGTCAATGCTAGGAAAGCATCAAGGAGCATGCAAGGCTCTTGGCCTCTGATGGTCGATTGCATTATCAAGAATTAAGGTTGAAGCTGGGCGTTGGTGGAGCATGCATTTAGTCCCAGCACTTGGGAGGCAGAGGCAAGCGGATCTCTGTGAGTTCGAGGCCAGCCTGGTGTACAAAGCTACACAGAGAAACCCTGTCTCAAAAAACCGGAAAAAAAAAATTTAAGGTTGAGCCCAAACCATAAATAAATGAAAACACGAGGACAATCACAGTAACGTCTTACCAATAAGGGGTGCCGATGAAAGACTTTCTCTTTGCAATGGTAGCTGTTATTTTTGCAGCCACACCAAAATCAGCTGAAAAAAAAAAAAAAACCAGCAGAAAATCAGCAGTTTTAGCATTCTAAGTTTCACCCTTAGAACAGCATCATTAATATTTTACATTAATATGAAGAAGCTGTGTATAAATTTAGTACCAAGTGCTGTTCTTTCTTGATCATAATATACTCATTAAAAGAAAATTTACTAGAAGAAAACTGTACTTTATTAGGATAATTAAATTATTTTAATTACAAGCACACTGGAATTAATTTGGGGAAAAAAATGACAAAACTAAAAACATACAAAACATACACCTGAATTCCTTTAATCCTAAAACAGTACACGGTCATTATTTTGTTGCTATATTTTAGAGTATTTTTCCTATGCATATAAAATTATATAATTTTTGTTAAACATGGTAATCGAAATTAAATACATTATTTTGTTCATTTCTGCCATTTAATATAACCAGATTTTCCTTACACATTTTCACCTAGAAGATTAATTTTCTTGAGTAGGATTTTACTTCTTCAGGAATAAAATCAGTGTATCACAGGCAACGATCATTATGATTATATTTATAAAAATTAAATCTATTCAAACTTAAATATCACTTAATATTTTTGGTAAAAAATTAAGAACTCAAAATAACATACCTAATTTTACATCACCATGGTCTGTTAATAAAATATTTGCACCCTAAAACAAAAGCACAAATCCTATTAAACTAGCATCATAAAATTTATTTCAAAACTCAGCAATTTAAATATATTGATGAACTTACTTTGATATCTCTATGCATTTTGCCTTTAGTATGCAAATAGGCAAGACCCTGAAGTTAAAAAAGAATATGTGTTAGCAAGACAGTAACAAATGTCTACCACAATTACTGAAAAAGAAAAACTAGTCAGTCCTTTTCAGGGGATAAAAGGGTTTCTTTTAAGTACCTGGTGAGCTTTGTAATCTAAATCACTTTCTGGTAAAACTGGAAATGTTTTACTAAAGAATCAGCATCACAATTAAGACAATGAATGCACCGATCACTCCCAAAGCTTTCTCTGCTAGTGCTCTTTAAAATTCTTCTCATTCCAGCAACACTGCTTGTCTCTCTACTCCAGGTTTCCAAAGCTACCTGACTATTCTTCCTGCTTTGCATTTCCACAGGGATTCCAGAATCAGCTGCCAATTTCACTGTTGTTCCTGCATCGTCAACCACACAGGTCACCATGTAACCCAGACTGGCCTCAAACTCATGATTTTCCTCCCCAAATTCCTGGGGTGATGAGATTATGGGTGGGCCACTGTGCCTGACCGGCTGGCCAATTTCTTTAACAACAAAAGTCTGGTTGGTTTCCACAGGAATTGGGGTTCCACTTGGGGAGAACCTTCTGAGCAATAACCTCCTAACCCATGAGACAGCAGTTACCTGCTCACCTAGGTCTTTGACTCTCCACAATGTTGTGGCTTTAGTATGCAGGTGTTTTTGTGCTTCTGTTTATCCATGAGAATGTCATATCCCTTATGCTACTGTAAGCAGTTTTCTTTGAATTTTAATTCCCAAATTTGAAATCCACTTGACTTGGAAAAGCAATCTGAAGCTTGCCAATGTTGGTTCTAACTTAAAGGCTCTAGTGTCCACTTTGTAGATTCTCTTTCATTTTCAAAAAAATGATCATGTAATTTTGTGAATTAAGAGTTTTGCTTGCTGTTTTCAAGACTAGATTCCTTTTTATTTTATTCTTTTTTCCTTTCAGTCTATCAGAAACCTGGACTACAAGGCAGGACTACTACATCTTCATCTTGTTCTATCAGGAGAAAAGACAACTTGACTGCAGCATTTTCAGAGATACTCTCTACTGAGTTAACCAAGTTCCTTTTAAATGTGCTGTTCCTGGATGTTTACATTAATTTTTACATAAGTTTGTAAAGCAGCCATTTTCCTTCTTGCTTTCTGTACATATTTTGTGTTGGTTGGGTGTCCTCCTTTCTCCTTTCCTCACCACACTCCAAAGCTTTCCCACACTTTTCCCCACCTACCTTCATAACCAAAATGTCCCGTCTCCCAGAGCCCTTTCACTTGCATGGCTCCTTCCTGGTTTCCTGGCCTCCTTAGAGGCCATACCCACATAAACACATTATAAAGATTAGAAGCTAGGGCCCACATAGGAAAGAGAAACATGTGGTATTTGTCTTTTCTGTATGCTTAGAAATTTATCGGGAATAAACACTGGGTTTCACTAAATGTTCTCTTTGCTGACCATGCAGCTTTCTCCAAAGTTTATTCATGGTTGTTTTCCTGTAAATGAACACTACCTCCTAGAAACATTTATTTTTTATACAATATCTGCTTTTACATCTTGTTGGATTATCTTGGAAACTTATTTAACAGGTTCTGTGTATGTTGCTATATGTTTTATGGGATAATTACCTTTGAATGATTTACAGGATTTATAGAATCTTGTATTTGTCTACCTTCCCACTCTTTTATTTGTTTGTTTTTTGTGACAGGGTTTCTCTGTGTAGCACTGGAGCCTGTCCTGGAATTAGTTCTTGGAGACCAGGCTGGTCTCAAATTCAGAGATCTGCCTGCCTCTGCCTCCCGAACGCTGGGATTAAAGGTGTGCACCACCACTGCAAGGCCCCACTTTTTTAAAATTTATTTTTATTTTATGTGCATTCGTGTTTTGCCTGAATGCATGTCTGTGTGAGGATGCCAGATCATGTGGATCTGGAGTTTCAGATAGGTCCTCTGCAAGAGCAGCCAGTGCTCCTAACCACTGAGCAATCCATCTCTCCAGATCCCACCTTCCAACTCCTCATCCACATGAAATTGTCATCACTCATTTTACTCAGACATGCTACAACACACTAATTAGCTCTGTTGTAAAAATCTTTTCAACATAAATTCATTTTTAAAGGCCTTTACATTTATTTATCGGCCTGATTAGCCTGCGTAACAACATAGTATTTACTTCTTTGAGCATTAACTGTATTTTAATTTTGCATCGAGAAATTTCCCTGCATCCTGAATGGATGGCCCCACTGGTGATTACCTTTTACAAACCTGAAGACATCTTGTTATGGTTTGAACCTGAGATGTCCCTCACATGATCATTTGTGTGAACATTTGGTTTGACATTGAGACTACCCAGTCAAAGTGAGCTACTGGGACCTTCATCGATGTGGTTCTGGCCCAAGCTCTCAGCTCCCTGATTTCCAAGATGTGCAGAAGCAATGCTGCAAGTTCCCAGTGCAACTGTGCGGTCCCTGCCATGATTGATGGCACTTTCTGAAACTGTGAGCCAACAGGAAGCCCTCCTCCCTTGTTTCTGTCTGCCATAGTGAAGAGACAAGTAACCAACAAACCTCCTTCTGCTTTATTTCCTGTAGGTGCTGAACTCTACACTGACATTTCTTTTTACATATAAATGTGAAGGGAAAGCTCCCCCTTGACGTCTGCTTCCTCACTAATACCTGTCAGCATCCCAACATCCTTTTCTTTGTTCTTATGTACATGTTGTATTGTTTGTCCTAAGTCAGTGGTTCTCAACCTGTGGGCGGTGACCCCTTTGGAGTTACATATCAGATATTGACATTATAATACATAACAATGGCAAAGTTACAGTTATGCAGTAGCAACAAAATAATTTTATGGTTGGGGGTCAACATAACAGAAAAGGACCTGTGTTAAAGGGTTGCAGCATTAGGAGGGTTGAGAACTGCTTCTCTAAGAGTTTCTAAGACTGTCTCCTTATGTGAGTAATTCAATGACGATGGTGGTGTGGATTTTCTTGTTTCCTGTACTTAAGCGTGCACTGACTGCTTTGGATAGGCAGGCCTAGTTTTCATTAAACTTGGGACTTTTTTCTATTCTAGCCAGCACAGCGCTTTTTCAGCTGTGGGTTAGTTTCATTGATTTTTTTTCCTTCTTATGATGCTTCTTTGCAAGCCCAATAATCACTAGATGACCAATATTATAAATGGTACTTTTTTGAATGTTGTGTATTTTGGATTAAAATAAAACACTCTTGAAGGAACCAGCTTCCTTTTGGCAGCCATTACAGCCGAACACATGCTTGCCATAAACCTGCCTTGGTCACGTAGAGGTCAGATGCCTGTCTCGTGACAAGGAACC